GCCACACGCAACCGCTTTGTGGGGGTTTTTGCGAAGAAATAAACGAAAGGAAAGACGAAGAAACGGATATTGTCATCTGATTTAAAATTTAATATTTATATAATTATTTTCTAATTATATTTGTATAATAATATGATTTTTTTTAATACTATTATAATTTAACTCTTCCATAATTTTATTATTTTTCTTTGTTGATATATTTTTATTATAATATTTATTACATTCTTTTGTAAATTCTGATCTTAATACTTCATAAACTTTTTTGTTGTATTCTTATAAAATTTATTAATAAATTCTTTTATTACATCTTTAATATTTTCTTCTGTATTACTTTTTGTTTCTTCTTCTTCGCTTTCAATTTCGCCCCCTTCATCTTCTGGTTCATCTTCTGGTTCATTATTATTTTCATTATTATGTTCATTATTATTTTCATTATTATTATCATTATTATTAATATTATTTTGTTCTTCGGCTCTTCTCATATCTTCCATTCTTATTTGCCATTCTAACTGTGTTCTTTCATTTATTGTTAAAGTATCTTCTTCTTCTTCGCTTTCATTTACATCTACGTCAGTTTCTTCATAACTATTATTATAATCAGTTTCATTATATTCATCATAATTTTGTAATTCTTGTAATTCTTGTATTAATTCATTATTTGCTTCTATTTCATCCATATAATTTTTAACTTCTTTTTCTAATTCCATTTTATAAGTTAATAATATTTCTGTATGTTCATCTTTCATTCCTTCATATTTATTTAATATATTATCTACTTTATTCTTTTTCATAACTAATTTACCTCCTTGTGTTCTATTGTCTGCATTTTCCATAATTAGATCATCTATGAGTTTATGTATCATTTTCTTATTAATTTATATAGTTATTATTTCTTGAAGACTATTTTATATATAATGTAGTTTATTATATATTAGTCATCTTATTTAAAGTATAATAGGTATATTATTTCTGACCAGAATCCATTAATTATATATTTTTTTATCATTTAATATTTTTTCAAATTTTGAAACAATCTTGTAATAACTTACTTAATATACTTTAAATAAGATGACCAATATTTTTTTACTAAAATATGTAAATTGTTAAAAAACATACTTATAATAAGGTGGCGATATTATGATAAATATATAGTATTATTGAATAAGTATAATAATATTATATAATTATTTTATTTTAATATTAAAAAAATATTCTTTTCTTGAACTATTCTTATCATTATCAGTATAAAAATCTCCTATATATCCTTTCTCTTGCATTCTACTTTAGAAATCTTGATTACTTAATATTTCACCATTATTATTGTATTTTTTAGTCCAACTAGAATACCATTTAGATAATTCTGTTGTATTGATTTTATTTGTATTATTATCTGTTGTTGTAATATTTACGTCTAAAAATGTTTTTACTGTATCCATTCTATTAATATATAATTTTGTATCTATTTTAACTTGTTTAGGAATATTTAAATATTCATCGTGGTGTGCTTCTGTTCCATATTTAATAAGTAAATATGTAAATGCTTTTAATAATTCTTCATCATTTAATATTTTTCTTTCAGTCTTGGATCTAATACTCTGTGATATTTTTCTTTAATTTCATTCGGTTCAACAAAAGATATTGGAAAAGTTAAAACAAGTAATCTATTATAAATACTTTCTGTTTCTGTTCTTGTAAATTCTGGCAATTTATTAATTTCCATAAATGGGACAAATGTATTTTTAAATCCTTTTGTTTCTCCATTTTCATAATTAACTCTTGCAGTTATTGCATCATTGCCACTATTTCTTTTAAATAAATCAATATTAATAGTGTTTTTATTAATTCCTATTTTATCTGTATTTGGTTCATTAGTTAATAACATTCGTCATCCTTTTGATTGTGCGAGTGTTATATTTCTCAAATCTCCATTATTGTTTCCACTTGATATAAACTTTTGTTCTGTTGGTTCATATAAATCATTTAAAATTCTTTTCATAATAGTAGATAATAATCCTTTACCATTTCTACCAGCACCATATAAGAAAATAAATTTTTCGTGTTTATTACCAAAAAATGAATAACCATAAATATGAAAGATAAATTTAGTTAGTTCTTCATCTCCAAACATTTTATAAACAATACTCCACGCTTCATTAATTTTATCATCTTTTACATTTATAGGAGCATTAATATTACACACTTTACTAATATAATCATTTTTATTAACTTCACGATATTTTTTATTTAATAAATCAAATAAATAACCATTATTAAATCCTATAATATTAGTATCCATATCTAAAATATTTAAGCCGTCATTAATATTTAATGGATTTTCTAAATGTGTTATAGTTGTATGAATCATACTCGCCCCTCCTAATGTTTTATATGCGTCTTCATATATTTTAACTTTTTTGATAACATTTTTTCTTTTCTTTATTATCTTCTCCTGTTGCTTTATCTCTTTCTAATATTATAATATTTTTATTGTTTTGTGTTAATTGTTTACATTTTTCAGTTAATTCATCTTTTAATAATCTTGGTATTTTTCTATTGTTATTGAAATATTATTTTCATCATAATAAAACCACTTAACAATATCACCATCAAATATATTAGCATATTTGAAATTATTTATATTAGTTAAATAATGTTCGCTTATACTTTTAGCATCAAAGTCTTCTGTAATTAAAATATCAATATCTTCGTCAATTTTAGTATTATTTAATTCTATTAATTTTTCTAACGAGAAATATTCAATCATTGGTTTCTTAATGAATTTGATAGGTATTTCATGTACAAAAATATTATTAATATGTATATTTAACTCTTCTATTATTCTATCTGGTATTTTCACTAATGGTTTAACTCCATCTCCTTCAAATTCTACTTCATAAATATTAGTTTTAAAATCATAAATATCATGTTTTTTATTCAAAAATAATTTAATATATCCATTACTTAATAAAAATATAAATGCTTCTGTAATAACTCTATTTTCTTCTTTTAGTTTTAGTAATAAATTACTCTTTGCTTTTCTTTCAACTCTTGAACTATATTTATAATGTTCTTCTCCCACTTCTTGTTTATAAATCATTTTTAAATTATCTGTATACTGATGAAAAAAATCTTGGCTTTTTAGAAATTCCATTAAATATTTTTGTTCTTTGTCATAATTTAATAAAATTTTTTAAATATCATCATCATCAGTTTCATCTCCTTCAATATCATTAATATTATTACTTTTTAACCAGTTTTTATAAATACTACCATTATCAACAACAATCAAAAAAATTGCTGTATCTCTATTAACATTATATTCTTCTTTCATTTCATTAAATATTGTATCTCTTTTAGTACTATATTTATGTAAAATCTAAATCCATTTTTAATAATATTCTTATAATCTTTTAATAATCTATTTAGTTCTTCACTTTTACTCATTGTTTCTAATTCTGTCAATCTATTTGTTTGTTCTTTAACCGTATTAATTCTACTATAAAGTTTATTTTCAATATCAGTTTCATGATTAATTAAAATATTAAATAATATAACACTACACGAATTAACTATATCAATATCATCTGTTATAAAATCTGTATTTTCTTCATTTCTACAAAGTGTATTTCTTATTTCTTTTCTTATAAATTGTCCTCCGTGTCCGCATTCTACATAAACTCTGCCATTATTATCTTGTGCTTTACTGTTTCCTAAAATATATTTAACTATTCCATTATTTAGTTTATGATTATTTATAATTGCTTCAATTTGTTTATATTCATTCAAAGTATCATTATTAATTAAATATGTTGGATGATGGTTAATTATTTTACCATTATTTAAATTGATATTTTCTTTACAATATATACCATTTAATCTATTATCGGGGGTTGTGTTAAATTTTAACTGTAAGTTACTTTTTAGCATCATATTATATTATATATAATTATATAATATAATATTTCTTTAAAAGTATTTCAAGAGCATTTTTTAAAATCCAAATATTTCTATTTGTTGAACAAATTATCGATCTTGGATGCTTTACTAATCCCTTTTGATGAACTGTTCTATTACATAAAGGACACTGGACTTTCAATCCCGCTTTTTTTGCATATCTTTGTCGTTGATATAATTTAAAATATTCTGGATCGGTTGGTTTTATATTATATGTTCCATCTTCATTATATCGCCATAATGCAGTTATCGGTCTCCCTTCTCCTTTTACTCTCCCCCTTTGTCTTTTCTTTTCTTCGTGTTGCTTCTCTTCTTCCGATGTAGTTATATTTTCATTATCAATATCATCAGTTGTAGTCATTACTTTAGATTGTGTATTATTATTTCTTTATGACTATTATTATGGACAAGGACAGGGCTGATAGGTCTCGGGACAACAGGGGCAACAGGGCCTGTGACAGGGCCTATGACAGGGGGCGACAGGGCCTGTGACAGGGCCTACGACAGGGGTCGACAGGCCCTATGACAGGGGGTATGACTGGGGTCGACAGGGTCTGCGGACAGGCCCTACGACAGGGCTCGACAGGGCCTACGGACAGGGTCGACGACAGGGCTCGACAGGGCCTACGGACAGGGTCTACCACAGGGGTCGACAGGGCCTATGACAGGGCCTACGACACGGGTGGACAGACCCTATGACAGGGCCTACGACAGGGGTGGACAGGGCCCATGGACAGGGCCTACGACAGCTATGACAGGAGTGGACAGGGCCCACGGACAGGCCCTAGGACAGGGGTGGACAGGGCCTGTGAATAGGGCCTATGACAGAGGCCGACAGGGCCTGTGACAGGGCCTGTCACAGTGGCGAATAGGGTGCAGGATGGGGCTACACACAGGTGGAGGACAGGCTGTGGCCGGGGGTTCTTTATGTCGAGGCTGGCCCGAAAATTAATTCCTTCAATCTTCATTGCCGGGCGCTGCATGAGCGAGGAGCTCCCTTTTTACTGATCGAGCGTGCCAATCGAGCATCTCAAAAGTCCCAAAGACTAGGCAAAGCCGAGGCTTACAAAGCTCTGTGCAGCCAATGACGTCTTCATTGGCAAAGTCAGCCTTGTAGTGGCGGCGGGGCGGTGGTGGTAAAGCTTGAGACGAATGCACCGCACGGCCTGTCCATGAAGAACGCTTCCGACTGCTTGCTGCATGGTCACCTGAGATCCAGGAATGCAAGGCTCATTCCTTCAATCTTCATTGCCGGGCGCTGCATGAGCGAGGAGCTCCCTTTTTACTGATCGAGCGTGCCAATCGAGCATCTCAAAAGTCCCAAAGACTAGGCAAAGCCGAGGCTTACAAAGCTCTGTGCAGCCAATGACGTCTTCATTGGCAAAGTCAGCCTTGTAGTACCCCAACCCCCCCTCGTTGGCGCTGAAGGTAGGCGTTGTAGGCGAGGAGAACCCAAGTGATCACATCCATCGGGCGGGCAGGGAGGGAAGACGGGGGATGCACCCGTTCATAATTGTCTTGGCTTGACGTGCTGCCTGGAAGTGCTGTAGCAATCGGTACTGGAGCTGGGGCAGGACTTTGTAGTCCAAACTGAGCGCTGAGCCAAACGATCAGATGTTGCTCCAACTCACCGATCAGCGCAGAGGCCTGGAAGAGGAGCTCCTTGACCAAGGAGCCTGCTAGGGTGGCCACACCACGAAGCACGAAGCGCACAAGGCCTCCCAGAAGTAAAGCAACCAACTTGGGGAAGAGCATCGCCAGCAAAAGCAGCGCCACTACCAAAGTCAACCTGCTACGAGACGAGGGCCAGGACAAGCTGGACCACGTCGAAGAAGAGGGTACCGCTGCAGGCGTAACCGACGCTGCAGCATCACCTCCTCGAACCGGCTTTGGCCTCACCGGCTCTAATAATACTGTTCCCGCAGGTCTCCTTGAAGACGAAGGCGTGATCCATGGCTGCAGTGCTGTAACCATCCTCGCCAGGGCGGCAGTCAAACGGCGCGGCATACTCCCCGACCTCCAACGTGCCGCGGTAGCGCGAGTTTGGTCATCTTCCAGGATGTCTTTGGCAGTCAAGCCAGAGTCCACCTCCAGAGGGCCCAGCTGGGCCGCCGCCGAGTCAACCGCAGACAAGAGGGCCTCTGTGACAGGTTTCAAACCTCCGCTGTCCTCCACAGCCGCTCTACGCGGCGGAGCCGAGAGTCTGATCACCGGCCGTTGCATTCGGCCGCGCTGCTGCTAGCTAGTCTCTGGCTAGAAGTAGAGCCCGGAGTGAAAGTCGAGGAGGCTTTCGTAACATACTGGCATGGCTAAGTGCAAACTCAAGGTGCTGCTTGGCTTCCGGCCGACTCTCCGCTTCCACTCGGACTGTCAAAGCCTCATGCAGGTAGTAGCGCAATGTGTCGGCGCGAGCCCAGCGACCCAAGTACTGTAAAGTTGACAGGTTTTCATATGTCCTGAAGTGCCACGTTGCACCTCCGCTGCGGAGGCTACCCAGCGTGAAGCCACGGTCCTCAAGGCAGAGGCGTAGGAGGCCATGTTGGAAAATCTGATACCAACGCCTCCGGTTGAATCGAAACAGAAGCCGATCTCGCGACCACCCCGAACACCACCACCGCAGCCAGGCGATAAGCTCCGAGCACTTAATGAGGACAAACTGAGTTTGCCAAAGCCTGCGGGTCTTCGGTTTCCTGATCGTCACCACCAGGCCCTCTTGAGCATCTTCTCCCGCCACCCCATCCGGGAAGCACAGGTCGCCCACTCTCAAAACACTCGTTTCACCAGGGCGAAGAAGACCTTCAAAGCTAAGCCAGGTGGCAAGGAAACTAGCCCAATACTGTTCACGACTGCGCCCAGCTAGACCATGCCCAGTAGCCAACAAGGTGACAAGCAGACTCTTGAGGATCGCCTTTGACATGGGCACGCGCGAGCGTACAGGTTGTAGAACACGCCATCCACGAATAGCCGCCCAGGAGCCCCGTAACAAAGGCCCTGATAAATGGAAAACCCGCTGTAGCCCAATAAGTCCCAATCTGACAAAGTAGAGCTTCTCCCCCCTCTGGTAAGCCACGTCGATGCACCTCTCCAGCACTCTATCCACCACGGGTGCGGGAGTAGATCGGGTGAGCCTTGTGCCCAGAGAGCGAGCGAGATCATATAGCCAGAAAGCAGCCGTTCGGAGCCCCCGTCGGTACTCGGGGGTCAGGTTAGCATTGCGCAGCCTTCCACCGCGCGAGGGCATCAGCCAAAGCGCAGCAGAAACCGGTCGGGTAAGCGCCCGCCCCCTTTGCACGAGCACCCCTAAGAGCAGGAGGATGCCGATGGTCACCGGGACATGTGCGCGCCACAGCTTGAACCCAGGGGGCATTGGTGACAAGCCGCGTGGGTTTTTGTGTGCCATGCATGCCGTGGGGTCCCTCATAAGCGCACATGTCGACCCTGATGGTGTGCACCGCGTCATGACAAAGCAACTGTCGAGTGCAATCCAACTGCCAGGCTGAGCTCCCACGCGGATGTTCAAGGATGAAGAAGCCGCCCGCCTCGAGAACCTTCCAAGCCAGGTTTACCGCACGAGCCCATAATGCATTCCCCAGCGCAACGGCAGGGTTTGAGTCATCACCTTCAGACCGCCCGCGAGGACGCAAGGGACCTCTCGGGTCCAGATTTCGCAGTGCACTGAAAGAGGAGCACGGCGGAGCCAGCCACACCCATTGGAGCCGGCCTCCTAGGATTTCCTCGTCAATCCACGGGTCCCTGGCATCAAGGCCGTACTTCAGGTCAACGGGAGGCCCCATATCGAGCCCCGCTCCACGATGAGCCTCGGTGATCCCCGCCGTTCCAGCGAAGACCTCAAGCCCACGAAAGCCGCTCCGGTCCTGAACTCCCAGCCGTCTGAGCCAGCCTGGTACACGTCGCGGAGGAGGAAGGGACCTGAAACGAGAAGGGTGGTCGGCCGGGTTAGCGGCAGTCTCTATCCAAAGAACAGCCAGCGAAACTCGGCCCAGAACCAGATGCGGAAGCATGCCACGAAGGAGACCGTTAAGTTTGAAGCTGGATGAACGTCCTTTGGCCACTGCTCCGACCACGACCCTTGAATCATTGAGAGCTATGAGGACCGAGCGCCAGCAATCGCCCCGAGCGGCAAGGCGCATGACCTCCCGCCTAAGGGCCCGCAGCTCCTGTAAATTGACATGGGATGTCTCCTTGAAAGAATACGACCCCGTCACCCTCCAGGACATCGACTCAGCAACTGCACTGGCAAAGGTCGAAGGCTCCTTTGGCTCCACATCCAACAGCTCCTCATGTACGCCTCGGTCCAATCGGACTGCCTCACCTCTGATCTCCGATAACTGCCACAGTTCACGAGCCAGGGGCAACGGCACCTCCGTAACAACCGAACCTCCTGACGAAGGCGTAGCATCCGTAGCGACCAGAGTGGATGCAAGGGCAGTCCTCATGTCCCACACAGCAAAAGGAAGATGTAGAGCGCAGGACCTGAGTTCGTCGGCGACATACTTTGGCAACTTCACCCACCTATTTTCCGGCATGTCATCAATGTACCGGTACAAGTGGTGCTGCAAGCAGTAGAGCTCCCGGCGATACTGGAAAATGTAGGAGAGGTAGCCGAGGACCTTGCGCAGGACCTCCTTGTTGCAAAAGCCTCCACGAATGATCTTAAGGATTAAGCTCCAAACCTGCTGCCGCACACGCAAAGGAGCCCCGACCTTGCCCTGGATGCCGTCCACCTCGGCGCCCCAGGCCTTGAATTCGGTGGCAAAGCGAAACTCCTTATGCATGGCACGCTCTAGGTTGGCCTCCACATACGCCGTCTCCGCAGCACGCACCCGAAGCACATCTGGATCCTGTGGGTCAGGCGGGGGCGGCACAAAGCTTCCATCTAGAGGTACCGGATGTAAAAGGCGACACTTCTGAGTGATGAGCAAATCGTCGATGTACACCCCTTCCCAGGTAGATCCCTGCGGAGCGGGCGCACCATATCTCAACACCGAAGAGGGACTCAGCAAACCGTGCCTCCGCAACACCGCCTCGTGGACAGTTTGTGCTATATCGACTCCGTTGGTATCACCCATCCCCAAGACTCTGAAGCACAGCCTGTACGGAACTCGGTGAGGCAGCCCAAGAGCTCGCGCCGCCTCCGGTGAAAGCCGCCGGCCAAAAGAGTTGAAACGAATCCAGTTCTCCGGCAGGCGCAGAGAATAATAGAAATTTCTCAGATCATCCCCAGAACCCCGAAGGTACTCGCAAGGATCCAAAAGAATACGTGTATAGCAAGCACCGCTCGGCAGATGGGCCCAGGCTAGCTTGCTATTTGCAGCGTTCTCCGGCCTACGGTCAAAGATCAAGCGGTCCTCTAGGTCATTCTTGCCTACCCCGAACAGGCCTCCACAAAGCAGGCGCCCGCTCCCATCGTGAGGCAAGTCAGCTTCCTGCACCGGGACAGCCATGCCGTGCGCAACCAGTTTCAACACCATCGCGTCTTCATCCTGGGCCTCGACCTTGTGGCACGCCACGGGGATCTCGCCCCACTCTTCCTCAGGAAGTCGGAGCGTCTCCAGGTCCTGAACCACAGCCCTATGGGCGGGCTCGAGCCACTCAAGCGGGTCCACCATTCCCGCCTTCTCTGGCAAGGCGACTCGTGAAGGCACCACCGGCAAAGCAGAAGTAGCTTGCCCAGGCGCCTGGGCCGTCCCAGCACGATATGCACCTGTACAATGGACCTGTTGCAGCATCTCCTCTATACAGCCCCGTTTCCCAGAGCAAGCAAGACGCCCCAACACCAAGTCCAAATTCGCAAAGCCCCTCACCTCGCCAAGGAGCTGGTCGGCAAAGGATCTCGCCTCTGCTCGGCTTTTATAGCTCACTCGCGGCTCGTATGCGCTTCCACCCGCAGACGGACACCCCAGTGTCACGAAGTTGCCCCAGGCCACCCACGTGTTTACGAAGGCCTTGGACCACCATTCGAGAGCACCAGCATCATCCACCACCGTGCGCTCGCTTCGGAGCACTTCAGGATATGGAAGGGCACAGGGAAAGAGAGAAGTCAAGTCACCGGACCGTTCCGGTAGCAAACCTTGGGCACCCTCAAACCAAACAACATAAGATAAAAAGTTCGAATTCCCGAAGACCATGGCCGGATGTAGCACTTGCCGTCCCAGCCTGTCCTCCATGCAGATCGGAGAGATCACTTGCGATGGGCGGCCCCGCCGCCCTCGCCGTCCTCGTCGCCGGCACCGTCGTGGCTGGTGCTCTCCTTGACTCGCTTCTTGAGGTCCGCTAGGGCCTTCAGGTAGCCTGAGACCACAGCCATCTCCTGCTTTGACCCGGCAAACTCCTTCTTGGATAAGGGATCCTCCAAGCCAGTCAGCAACCAGGCTGTCGTCCAGTCGCCCCCGGCCAGAATGCACTGCACCTTGCTCTTCAAGTTCTGGATCACCTGTGCTGATGCCGCTTGGCTCTCGCCGTTCCTCAGCATTTCGTAGACGGCCACATCCTGGTAGGCTGTGCGCTGCAGCCCCTTGAACTTGCCCCAAGGCTGTCTCCTTACCCAGTCCCGCAAAGTCCAGCTCTGCCCCTCCACGATGCCAAGCTCCCGGATCACCTCGTGCTCGAACTGTTCCACGATCCTCCGCGGCCTGCGGCGGATGTTCTCGTGGAGCTTGTGGAGGGTGGCCACGGCCTTCATCCCGGCATGCTGCGGCCCTTCGCGGTCGTCGTCCATCCCGTCGGAATCGGAAGAACCAAGCAGATCCAGATCGCGTTTGCTGTCCTGGCCTCGCTTCTTCTTTTTCTTCTGGTCCTTCTTGTCCAAGACCAAACTCATGAGGACGAGCGGCATGAGGTCGGTGGCGCTGCTGCCCTCGGCTAGCCCTTTTCGAACCAGCTTCCTCAGATCCACATCCTCGGGGTCCTTGTCGGCGCTCCCTCTGGCCTTCCCGGTGGAGGAGCGGCCACCCGGAGGCAAAAAGGTCCGACTCTGCCCTTTTCGGGAAGGGAAGTTGTCGTCCTCGTCGTCGTCGGTCTCGTCCTCCTCGTCCTCGCCGTCGTCTTCGGGGAAGAGGCCCTGAGCTTCCTTGATGTCCTGCTTCAAGCTTCGCCGGACGCGTCCGGTCGTTCGCTCGCCTCTGGGCATCTCCGCCCCACTGCTGCCAAGGTCCGCACTGGCCTTCTCTGCTTTCTTCCATCCCTGCAGGCACTGCTGAAGTCCCGGCAGATCTCGTGGGCGGGGTCCCGCCCAACCCAGGGGGGCCCGCAGCGTCAAAGACTCTTGTGGCACTCTCAAGAATCTAATCTTCTGGCCCCCAACGGTTTCCAAAATGGTTTGGGACAGGGAAGAAGCAATCTGATCAGCCGTCGCAATAACTGCGTCACTGCCGGGCAGGCCAACCACCCATCCACAAATCGACACAGTTTGCTTATCGCCCCCCTCGCACAGCACATAAACGACGTCTTCCAGAGCCATGGCGCTCCGGACCTAGAACTCTCCTTTAAAGCTTGAGACGAATGCACCGCACGGCCTGTCCATGAAGAACGCTTCCGACTGCTTGCTGCATGGTCACCTGAGATCCAGGAATGCAAGGCTCATTAATTAATTGGTCGTCCGGGTACAGGCCGAAGGAATGACAAAAATGACAAGCTCCGGGCTGGCCCGAAAATAAAAATAAATAATTAATTAATTGGCTCGTCTGGGTACAGACCGAAGGAATGACAAGCGGGCAGATCAATTAACTAATCGCCGTCAGAACGGACACCGCTGGGGCTCCTCGTCCCTCAGCATGAGATCGGTCACTTCGATCAGCAGGCCGCACTGGCCGCTCATCATCCAGACCTGCTTGAGCTCAGCTCGCTCCCGATTCGTCAGATCCCAGGGCTCCTCCAATGGCTGCCCTGCGCATCCCAGAGATTCCCCCGATCCAGGCAGACTTTGAGCTTGATGAAAGAATTCCCTCGCGTGGAGGTCTTGAGACTGGCTCCAGGCACAGGGGCAGTCGCCGGGCGTCCTCGCCATTGTAGGCTGACGGGTGCCACAGGATGCGAATCCAGTCCCCGAACCGCCAGACCGCCGCCCCCCCATCCTCCTGGCCAGGAGGTCTCCGAGCTTGATCGCCGTGCTTGGCTTGCCGCTCATGCTCCCTTTACCGGGAGAGTGCCTCTGCGCCGCCGTTTCTCTGGCCAAGCTCTTCCCGACCGACGAGTACACCTCAAAACAGCCACGCGACCCGATCGTTCCCCGCGTGCCGTGCACTGGGATCTTCCTCGGGCCGAGCAAATCCGGGAAGACGGTGGCCCTGATCTCAGCCATCCGCCATCCTGGACCAGTACCTGACGGCCGGCGGCGATTCGGTCTTT